AACAATTGAATCAAGTATTCCAAACCTAAGCGCCAAAAGCATGTTTCTAATTTCGTTAGTTTAGTGTCATGCACATAGATTGAAAACTTGAAATGAAGCAAGAATAAATATCAATTAAAGCAATGGCATGGTAACATAAATATCAATTAAAGCAATATCAATTTAGTGTCATGTACCATCATACGTAAGCACACCATCTTCCCATAACTCCTTCACTCTATAGAAGACCCAAGGTCAAGCCACCACCATCACCACACACACACACACACACACACACACACACATATATATGAATACTTTTCTTAATATATATATATATATATATATTATACTAATTTTTATCAATCAAGAAAATTGTTCATGGAGGATATTTTCAATCTCTTCCATCAAAAATGGAATCTTTTTTTGATCAGCAAAAAAATCTTTATTGATAAAAAAAACATGCATTTCATATGAGATTACATCAATAGACATGAAAGAAGAAAGAAGAAAGAAGAAAAAGAGGAACAAAGAACAATGTTGGAGTTGAATCAAGATCTCTTTCTTTATTAATCAAATGTATACAAACTGGAGTTGAACCATGACTGACTGTTCTTGGACTGGAAAAGCTTTGGGTTGATCTTGAATTCATTGGTGAAATGAAAACACATAAGAGGTAGAGGGCGAAAGCAGTGTTTGAGAAATTGAGATAAAGAACCAAAAACAGAACAAAATACACCACAAGCTCACAAAGGAACCAAACAATAAACAAAAAACTAGACTAACATACAGTACATATCCAATTCAAATACTTACTGTATGTAAAGTTGAATAAGAAGTATTTTGAGTTGAATTACCCCATGAAACAAAAACAACCATATTATGTCAGCCTCTCCACTACCAAATCATCTTCCATAAAATTAGTAGAGAGGGAGTTACCAAGAAAGATTTAAGCCCAAGAGGTCCAACGGAAATTCAAGAGGATGGTATTAAAAGAGATCTTAAAGAAAAAAAAAACCACATCTATGACTACACATATACATATATAACCATGAAAAGACAAAAATAAACAAGATAAAATCGAGAGCACAAAATCACAAAAGTAGCTCGAGTAAAAAATGAAAACCAATTTAACTTCAATAATTGCATTCTCAAACACAAAACAAACACATTTCAATGGCTTTGAATTTCTGCAAACCATAGACACACAACTTAAGGATTAAAAAAAAAAAAAAAAAAAAAAACCGAAAAGAATAAGAACCTAATTAAAATCAAAGACCCCAATGCAGACAAATCAACATTTGTACCATTGCCAGTGACAATCAATAACTCAAGCTAAAATTAGTTGATCAACCAAATCAATACATAGGTAGGTCTTCAAGCAATCAGAATTTTTTTTTTAAATTTTTTTTTATTATGAATCTAAATTTGTATTGGAAAAAATTAAAGCATACAGACTGCAACAACAAAGCGATTACAATGACAAACTGTATAGATTTATAGATTGTCAGGTCAATGAATAGCCAACCATGACGCACCAATAAACTACCATTTTACTGCCAACATATGTCAAGGGGGAAAATTCAAAAAGAAAAGGAAACCATAACTACAAAGATCTACTACTACTATCAATAAAGATCCACTGCATGTTTTCTCTAATAACTCAAAAAAAAAAAAAAATGCTTATACAAATGTTACATATGCCACAAGATCTTAGCATATTTTTTTAAAAAGTAAGTGACTAAAGTATTTCCATACCACTGTCTGAGGAAGACAAAATGTTGACCTTAGCATAAAAAAAAAGCTTAATTGAAATCTTTTCACAAAGTGTTCCATTCTCTAAGATACCTAAGATGACTAACCATGTGAACCATGAACCTCAAGCTGTTGACATACATTAACAAATGGATATAGTTAAGTTTGACGCATATTTCGACAAAATCTAATCATGGTGCATTAACGATCTCTCGTATATTTGGATTTCTTAAGAGGGAGGAGGTAATTTACATTAACAGATCAACTATTTACAACATAAAACAGAATGAAGGTAATCACACATGCAATTATAGCTGAAGCTTTGTTGATTTGGAGTCATTACTAGACATATAGTTCATCTAGGTCACACAACAGATATAATAAATATCAAAAATAAAATAAAAATTAGTTTATTTCACCTCTGTAAATTTAAAAATTGGTTTAAGAAAATACATTTAGAATATCATTTGGCCCAGAGGAGAGAAGAGGGCATCGATCTGCCACCCAGCGCTGCTGCTGCCCTGCGATGTTGTGCCATTGGCATCTGACGACGTGAGAAAGTAAGAGGGAGAGGGACTACATTTAGCATGTCCGAGACAGAGAAGAGAAGAGGGCATCGACCCAAAAAGAGGGTGCGATCTGCAGCCATACAGTGCTGCAGTAGCGCTCCGGTGCCTTTCTCATTCGGCGATTCAACAGAGCAAGAGAGAGAGAGAGAGAAGAAGAAGAGAAGAAGACGTTACCTGGATCGACCTATGTGTGCCGTTTCAGATGGAGTGAGAAAGTGAGAAGGAAAGTGATGGTCAATTGTTTGTTTATTCACTCAGTCAATTATTTTTGGCAATAAAAAATTAGGGTAAAGGCAAATAATTTATTGGCAACCAAATTAATTTGGTTGCCATAAATATTATTCAAATTTTTGGCGACCAAGTCATGCTTGTCACCAAATGCATATAATTGGCGATTAAAATTTCCGTCGCTAAGAATTAATTTGGTCGCCAAATTTTTTTTAGCGCTTCCGCCCAAAAAAATCACTTGGCGCCAAACTCAATAGTGACCAGAATTTTAAATTCGTCGCCAAAAGTTTAGTTTTTAGTGACCATAAATATTCTGTCGCTAATGATGTATCTTTGGCAACTAAATTTTTGTTTGGTTGCTAAAAAGCGTCGCCAAAAATGCTTTTTGTTATAGTGACGAAAAAATAAGTAAGTTTATTCATATACTTGTAGCGGTCTCTGAACTAATTTGTGTTATTTTTATTCAGGTCAAAAATTGTTTAAAGAGATGTGAAATATGGTCAAAGAAGACAGAACATTCAAAAACTTTAAGTTTTTCTTAAGTTTTTTCATTTTTTTTAATTACTTTTTTTATTGTGTAATTACAGTAAAAAAAACTTTTTATTCCTTAACTTTCATTGTATATATTTTTTTAACATTCGACTTTCATTTATGAAATATATGAGGTTATTAGCTATTCATATGTGGTTAATGTTGTGATTCAAAGGAAGTGTTTGTACAAATAATATTGATAATATTTTAGTTATTAGTTCTGTTCAAATTTTAATCACGGTTTATATGATGTGATTGATAGTTACATTTTGTGGTCAAATTTTTTTTTTTTTTATCACACGCATTAACTGTGATGAGAAATGAATATAACTGTGATCTTATATCATTATTAATTATGGATTATTTAAGTTCAATCTCAGGTTTTATTTGTTATTAATCATACTTAAATTTGTGATTTAAATATTTATTATCATGATCAAAACACATGATGAAATTATCTTTTAATGACAGTCAAAAAGTAGGATAAAAAATGACCTTTAATAATCACTCTTAAAGATCAGGTTTTGACAAAATAAAAAATCTGTGATTAAATAGCATATATATTACACTTGAAGTTCGTGGTTTATTTATGATTTTGTAATAATAATGGGTTTATGGTCATCCAATGTCAACCAGACCCACAAGCAAACTAGTGCTAGATTGTAAAAACATAATCTAAAATTTACAAAATGCAGAGTCAGCTTGATTATTTTAGTCAAGAAACGTACGGGTTATATATATAATAATAAAAGGAGTTAGGATTTTAGTTGTGACGATGCAAACACTAGGTAGCATTCGGTAATGTTTATATTTTTGATTTATATTTATAAAAATTTTATAAATTGATTTTTATTTAATTTTAAAAAAATATAAATTACAAACGCGTTTGGTTTGAACAAAATATTTAAAAAATTTTAAATACATAAACTAAAAAATATGTTTGTTTAGGCCTAAAATATTTATATTTATTTTTTTTATTTATGACAATGGGATCACACACATTATAAATGAAAAAAAATTAATTAAAAAATAATTGAAAAAAAATTAATTGGGAAAAAAATTAGTTGAAAAAAAAAATTTGAAAAAAAATTAATTGAAAAAAAAAATTGAAAAACAATTATTTGAAAAAAAAATTAATTGAAAAAAAATTATTTGGAAAAAAATATTTGAAAAAAAAATTAATTGGGAAAAAATATTTGAAAAAAAATTAATTGGAAAAAAAAATTAAAAATTGAAAACGTAAACTCATTTTTTTAGTTTACGTTCTTTTCTCAAATTTATTAACTGAGACAATCATTTATAAACCAAAAAAATTATCAAACAAGTTTACATGACAGTTTTTAAAATTTTTGTAAATATAAACTAAAAATTGAAAACAGAATGGTTACCAAGCAGGCCCTAAGAAGTTGTTTAGAAAGTCATTTTCTTTTATTACCTTCTTTAACAATATTTTATTTAATTTTCATTATTTTTCTTATCTAAATTATGAAGTACTCTGGTTTTGCCCAACTACCATGAAGCTAGTGCAGTAACTCTACATTTATCTGAGAGAATCTCAAAATAATTGCATAATAGGTAAAAAAAAAATTAATATAAATTTGAAAAAAAAAATTACACCATAGAAATGAAACACTTGGCCCGCAAAAACTATATTCCTCGTCAAAAATGTTTAAGAGTACTAAAAGTAAAATTTTAATAAAAGCTCTACTTATGTGATAGCGAATTTTATTCATGAATAATTTGATATATGTGTCTTATTTTTTTTTTTTTTACTCTATATCATATCATTAATGTCATTATTAAAATTTTAAATTTAAAACTATGAATCATCGCTATAGACCGCTTATTGTCATGGGTTTATGGTCATCCAATGTCAACCAAACACGTAAGCAAATAGTGCTAAAATGTGAAAAACGCGTCCCAACGTAATACACACACTACAGGAAATATATGATTTAACGGCGTTTATTTAACGGCGTTTTTTTAAACGCCACTATTTGTAATATTTAATGACATTTTATAAACGTCACATTTTGTTTTTATTAAAACGGTACCGTTTAAGTAATGAAGTCGTTTGAAAAGCGCCTTCGAATGTGTTACACTATTTCTCCCTCTCTGTCTTCAAGCCCTCAAATCTCTCACAACTTATTTGAATCTGAGAAACCCTAGAGTCTCAAAGAAACCGATCCCTCAAATCTCTCACTCTCTCTCTATCTCTCTCTCTCTCTCTCTAAGCCCTTCAGTTCCTTCAACTTGATTCAACCTTCTTCAGTTCGGTGATTCATCATTCGATCGATCCAATCTCAGAATGATTTTGATTTCAAAGCTCCACCGCCACCGCCATCACCATCTGCATCTGCATCGCCTACTCAGTTTCGAAATCGATTTCGATTTCGATTTCAATCCAATCTCAGTTTCGTCGAATCTTCTCTCTCTCGATCTCTCTCTCGATCTCTGTCTCTGTCTCCCTCTCTCTCTCGATCTCTCTGGATCTCTGTCTCTCTCGCACAATCTCATTCTCTACGTACACATTATCTGTACTTTTTTTTGAATAATTTTTTTCTCCTAAAAATCTCTCTATACAAGTATATATATGAATTTATATATGTATCTCTATGTATTGATTGAATAATCATCCTTATTTTGTTTTCAGGCTCACGAATGATCCAATCGTTGATCGGCAGTGACGGAAAAATTATGAAGGTTTTTGGCAGAGTTCATCCTGATTTTTGGCTGTTGATACTGACTTTGAACTTTCACTCTCATGGCTCCCACTCATTTTAGTTGCTCATTTCTTGCCTGAATATATTAGGACTATTTGCTCTATTTTACTTGACATAAATAGCTTCCTAAGTTACTTATAAAGAAAATCTTGTTAAAGGTGGTTTAAAGTCTCTGCAAGCTTGTCAGCAACTTGGGATCGAACCATGGTCATGCACTTACTGCACCGATTAAGAAAATCTAACATGCCATCTCATCTTGCTATGCTCTATTAAGTGATGGTTTTTATGGTTAACTGCTCAGTCTATAATTCCACAAATCAGAGTGCTTATAGATTTACATTTAAATTTTGCTTTTGAAATTATTTCTACGAAATTGGTGTTGTGTCTGCAGATGTTGTATCTAAATGAATTCAAAATATCTTGTATTGTTTGATATTTGTTTTTTTTCACCTTGCATAATATCTTACCGGAATCTTACTACCATGGTAGCTTGAGAAACAATGCTGTGGATATTCAGAGTCATTATGTTTTAACTGGTATCATACTACTTTCAGTGTAAGAATCAAATGCTTAGGAAAATATATGTTATAATTCATTTTTGCTATCTTGCAGGATATAGTAGGAACCCTCAAACAGAAGCTTTCTTGCAGTTTCTAGAACTTCCTTATATTCTTGATAACAACACATCAGAATCAAGGGAACAAACCCGTAGTCCGGCTTCCTTTGTTTCTACAGGTATAGGAATACGTTTCATCATTCTTTTACTGCAATTATTGAAGTATTGGGCGACAATTCTGGTCAGACCAGTGTAGGCCCAAAGTTGAACTTCATTGCTGGCCTAATTGATTGATTTAAAAGTTGAACTTCTCGTGTCAAAGACCAAACGGTGACCTGCATTATATGAGCTTTTGGGGACTGGTTTTGATGAAGTCCTAGAGTTAGATTTGGTCAAAACTTTCCTATGTTTGGATGTAATTGAATGTGCGAAGCTTCATGCACTTCAATTTTAGTTTGTTGTAGTTCAGGCATGCGAGATTTGTAGGTGGCTTATATTTCTTAAATGCCAGAAACTTTTGTTTCCATATACACATGTTTACAATAGGTCATGAGCTTTCTGATGTGAAGATATTCATATGTAAGAAACTCCTTGACTGTTTTCTTTGAAACTTTCATCTGGAGTTTGTTGCGTTGATGCTTCCATTCCTGGAAGTTCGTTACTTCTATATTATAGTAAACTTTTTATCGCTAAAAGGTCGCTCTGAAAAGTCAAAAACAAGGCTTTTAACAATTAAATTTTGAAAATGTCACTAATAAATAGACTTTTGGTCTCAAAATGGTTTATTTTTTGAGACAAAGAATTTGATACTAAAATGATAATAATTCATCACTAATGTCTCATTTTCATTGCTAAAAATATAATAACATTTTTCGCAAAAAAAAAATATTTGATCCCTAAAAAATAATTTGATTCCTAAATTTTGGTCTCTAAAATCTTAATTTTTTTTTTTGTAGTGTTAGACTAAAATGCAACATTAACTCCATTAGACCCTGTTTGTTTTCAAAAGGTAGAATGGAGGGGATTGATAGTGAGGGGATTAAGTAAAATTTTGTTTATTTTTATGATAGTTGTTAGTGTGGAGATTGTTAAATTATTTTCATATAAAATAATAAAACAAATAAAAAAATACTAAAAGATTAAACATTAATGTTTTAAAAAAAATTGCCCACCATGTAAAAATTTTTAAAATAAATAAAAAATTTCAAGAAAAAAAATAAAACAAATAAAATAATGATTTTTCTTAACAAAAAATACAAAAAATTATTTTTAAAAAAATGCCCAACATATAAAAAATAAAATAAAAAATAAAAAATTTCTAAACCGGTGACTATTTTACTAATATCAAGATTGGAGGCCATTAGAATCCCCTGGCGATTGATAATCCGGAGCTCACTATCAATCTCTCCCCATCTCTCAAAACAAACACAATGTTAATTGGCGATTCATAATCCGGAGCGCACTATCAATCCCACCCCATCTCTCAAAACAAACATAATATTAATGGGTACCATCTCACTACCAATCCCAATCTCTCCTCTAACTCTCCAAACAAACGGGCCGGAGGGATTAAGACAGAATCAAATCGAAGAAAGGAACTGAACAGCTTAAACCTAATTTTGAGCAGAAGTAAATCAATTCATAAAGTATGTATGGTACAGGAGAAGATCAATACGAAGCAAAGCTAGGGTTTAAAATGAAGAAACGAACCATTGTCCTGTTTGATGATCGTCCTGGAGCGATGAGCTCTCCTCTGTACAAAGCCTTGGGTTTAGAGTGGATACGATTTGCTGATTAACATATGGGTATGTATATTGTCGATCAAGATTGGCGGGTCGGGTCAGGTGAGTGGTCGAAATTTTTACAAGCCCAGGCCCAGCCCTGGGTGGTTTAAGGCTCGTAATTTCAGTAGCCAGAAGCTCGTTGGTACAATGGGCTGGACCCATGGACGCATTTTTTTTGCTAAAAAAAGGGGGCTGGACCCAGCTGAGAAAAAATAAAATAATTTTTGATGTGATGAAAATTTAATCTGAATTTTATCATAAAAATGAAATGTAAAATGTATATTTAAAATTAATATGCTGAATGAATCTTATTTATATATTTTAATTCTACATAAAATTTTAAATAACTTTTTTCTAGATATGCGGCAGAATTGGAAATGAAATGTTTAGTATTTTAGTTGATTTAACAATAGACTTAGGTCTCGTTTGGTAACTACATATTTTAGTTAAAAAGTTAAAAAATCACTATAAATTATCACATCATTTTCTCTACTTTTAGTATATTTTTTTGTAAAAAATCAAAAAATTATCAAAATAACTTATTCCCAAACGAGACCTTACCAACAGAATAAATTATTATGTGATTTGAAATTTCAAGTGAGAAATAATTTTCAAAACCTCAAAAACCTTAAGAAGGTTATTGTAATTTATATTTTGATATAAAGAAAAATATTATACAAATAGATTTCTTATGAACTTTTTTTTCTTTTTAATAATCTTACACTTATCATATTATGTTTATAGTCTTATTTGTAAAAACAATATTGATGTAACAGGTCTCCCTAACTACTATATGAGTCCAATGTAGTACTAACAGATTGTTTTTATAGGACTCGCTGATATTTATCTATCATTTTATTTATTGGTGACAAAATCTAATAAATCAATTTTAAAAATTATTAGGCAATCTTGAAATATTTATGTGATATTGCTTACAATTTATAACAAAACACACTCATGCATCATCAGTAGTCTCTCCACTATCTAACAAAAATAAGTGAAAAGTGTTAATATTTTTTACTACATTATTAATTAAGTTAAGCACGCAAACAATGACAATAACTATTTAACTAGGCAAGCAATGTGCAAGGATTCTTTGTCTCCAAATAATCTTGTTCCTTGTTTCAATTCACTCATAACCATTAGATCATATAAGAATCTCAAGATGTGAAAATCTCAAGATATATTCAATAATTGTAAGTGAATTGAAATAGGAAGATAAAGTTATTTAGGGACAGAAAATCCTTGCTAACAAGCAAGCAAGCGCCAAAGTAGGAATAACAGCAGCGAAATCAAAGCTTAAGGGAAGAAATAGATACATAAAAACTTGCATACAGATTCCACATATAAAGTGTTTTCTTACAACATTTTGTTTCAGTCAACGAAGAAAGTAGGAAATTTTTACATGTGTATGATCTATATGCAACTAAATATAGACGAGAGACTCACCCATTTGCTTTTGATCTCAATCTCTGTCATTATCATCAACCATAAACTTTCCTACACAACCCAACCTCGAAAACTTTTCCAAAGTTGTCCTTATTGCTTCAACATCACAGGCCAACCTTACAGCCGAACACTGTTTGTTTTCTAATTTACAGTATTCTAATCTTGTACTAATCACCGCACTAAACAGTTATTTATTTCTCCAGTGCACCTCCCACTTTGTTGCTTACGCGTCACAAGCGCATTAGTCAGTTACAGACCTTGCCCGTTTCCCCTGGGGCCGTAGAGATCTTCATCCACGGCGCATCATCATAGTCAACAGTTTTCATTTCTTTGCGATTGGTCCCTCCAAACCCCAATTTTTCATCGCGACCCCTCTTTTTCTTATTCCCATTCACCCACACCCCAAAGAGCTTCAAACCCTCTCCGCTTTTCTCTTCAGTATTTTCGTCGTCATCATCATCATCACCAGTGGTCTCGATCTGACCGTTCAATTCATCACAGGTGAGCATGATGCGATTGATCTGATCAGGGGCAACCTTGACATACTCGGTGAGGAAAGAGATGAGCTCGTCGCATTGCTTCTTCGTCTGCGCGAGCTCCGAGGTCAGCATCTCGTTGTCTCTCTTCAGTTTCTTGTTCTCGTCCGACAAGTCGGCGAATTGGGCCCTCGCCGGAGCCTCCACCGACCCCGCGTTCTTGGAATCCGGGGACGAGGTGGAGGTGGACCCTAGGTCCTCGCCGGAATTCGACGGCGAGGAAGGGCTGCCGATGGCGGCTGCGGCGGGGGATTTTCCACCGGCCGGGGATGACGTTAGTGCCTTACGGCGACGGATCTTCGTGAGGAGCTCTTTTTGGCCTCGTACGAAATTCTCGTTAGCAAATTCCCATTTGTCGGGCACAGTTTTTCGAAAGCCCTGAGAAAACAGCACAGCATTAGAATATTACAATTTTCTACTCCAATATAAAAAAGTAATTATTACTCCTTAATCTTTATTATTTTTTAAAAAATCAATAATTTAAATATAACAGATTCAGAACAATTTTTTTTTTTAAAAAAGAGCTATAACGGCGTTTTTTCAAAACGCCACTACAGTGCCAACGGACATTTTTTTTAAATAAAAAAATCTATCACGGCGTTTTAAAAACGTCGCTAAATATTGGATGACGTCATTTTATCATTATTTATCGCATTTAGCGGCGTTTTTAAAAACGCCGCCTATACTAATTTTACGACGTTTTTAAAGCGTAGTATGTGCTCTTAGTGTCATTGAATTCCCATTTTAGTTGTTTCTGTACTATGATCAAAGTTTAATCATTTTACACACTAGACTTGATGATGCAAACTCATGAACTTTAATCTCTGCAGTGATTTGGGTTGCTGATAAGAGTATCGGATCTGGGTTAGAGTTGGAAGAGTGGTTGACAGCTTTTGTTCATATTAGCATATCAATAAAGCTAGTCTTCTCTTTTATAACATACCCATGCTCATCTAGAAGGATAAGTGATTTATCTAATGGAAGTTCTTCATTGGCGTTTCTTAAGGATATGAAGTCTTTGAATCTCTTGTAAGGCGATATGGTTATTGCTGGCAAATCTATTCTGTTTTAATTTTTCATTTTCATGCTCCTTAATTGCTCTTGTACAAAACTAATATAACCATGTGGTTTCATGTCTTGCAGAATTCTGAGGAATAACAATATTTCTGGATCTATCCCATCCAATATTGGAGATTATCAAAGATTGTTACAACTGTAAGTTATTGCTATTAATTTCAGGTCAGCTCCCATATGCTTCAACCTGAAATTTGGCCAGTTCAGAGCCAGATGGCGGAAGATGGGGTCAAAACCAGACAACCAACTCTATGAAGCAAATACTTTTAATGTATTTACGTTATTATATAATGAATTTACTTGACCATGGTTTGTATAATTTTTCAGGGATTTTAGCTTCAACAAATTAACTGGACAGATTCCTGATTCGCTGTTCAATTTGAGCTCTCTTACTTGTAATAAACATCTTGTGCTGTATTATTTTAGAATCTTTCCAACAAATACTGTTTATTGCTTGAACTAATTTCTTCTTTATAAAAGGTATTTTTTTGGGTTAAATCTCACAGAATTAGCACAATTTTTTTTTTAAAAAAAAGAAAAGAAAGTTATAACGGCGTTTTTAAACGTCACTATAGAATATCAACGGTTATATTTTGAAAATAAAAATGACCTATCACGGGGTTTTTAAAACATTGCCAAATGTGTAGTGACGTCATTGTACAATTATGCAGCATATACTGATATAGTGACGCTTTTAAAGCGTCATAAAGTTACAGTGACGGCTGTATTTTCGACGTTTGGTACTAAACGTCACAAAAACAATTAGCGGCGTTTTTGATAGCTATAGCGGCGTTTTTTAAACGCCACTAAAAGCTTAATTTCCAGCAGTGACATGCTGGTAAATTTCATCAACTCACTGAATAATTACCCCTCATGGTGACTGATCTTCTTTTTTTCTTTTTTTTTTTTAACTTTAACTGAAGAGAAACCACGGTGTTGCATATAGTTAATGAAGTCAACAATTACCAGAGTTAAATGGGATATATGGGTTTAAAGGATTGGACTTTTCTTAATTTTAAAATAATTTAGACCATTTTGTTAGAGTTTGTGAGTGTTTTCATGGTTCTGTTTTAACAATTCAAATAATTTATTTTATAATTTTTATATATATATATTATTTATGAAAAAAAAAATTAAATATATCCAATAATTATAGTATTTCATTTTATTATATTTGTTTCTTAAAAAAATAAATGATAAATATAATTTTAAAAATAAGGGGATTTATTAGGAAATCTACTTGTATTCCAATTAATCATTAACATATTATTGTATTCTAACAAGTCTTATTATTTGAACATTTGATCCATCAAATCCTAATTCTCATATTTAAAGTATTTTATGAATAATTTTATCCTTACATATATTTTTTTATGCTTAACACTTGGTGATGTGAATATTCATATTTTACAGTGTGAATGTTCACATTAATGGTGTGAACATTCACATTAACAGTGAACATTCACACTATCAATGTGAATATTATTATTACGGGTATTTTGGCAACTATGTCATCCATACGACTTGTTGGAACATAAAAAATAATTTGGACTAAGTGGAACATAAATAGGTGAAGAGGAATTTTTGAACAAATGCCCATTAAATATATATCTTTTTTTTTTTAAGAAACAAATATGATAAAATAAAACTTTTGTAATTATCATATCAACTTAATTTTTTTCAGTAATTAACTATTTTAATTGAATTTTTGATTTTTACAAAAAGATGTACAAAAAAATAAAGAAAATGATGTAATAACTTATAGTAATTTTTTTACTTTTTAACTAATGACTAACGAAAATACACCCAAAAAAAAAAAAAAGACTTTGCAAAAATAAATTATTCAAATCGTAAAAATAAACTAATTACGAGCTCCATATATCTTAACATAACGGTCAAGTTTGATCTTGAAATAATTTGCATCCGATTTGAAGAGTGCTGCTATTTGCCCCCACCATTCTACTTTGGTCCCTTAACTTCTTTGAACCCCTCACCCAGCAAAATGAAACCCTTTTATTTTTTCTTTGAACCCCTACCTTAATACCAATTATACCCTTAATCCCAAACTCAAACCTAAACCCAAACCCTAGCCCCTACTCCCAACTATCACCTCCGGCAGGTCACTCACCGGAGCCCTCATTGCCGGCAGTCCCACCGTTTGTACTGCAATAACAAAAAAAAAAGAAGAGCAATTTGAGTAAATTTGCAGACAATCATGAGAAATCATGAGATGTGTGTGCTGAGTGTAAACTTATAAACTGTATCTTCAACATAGAGCCTACTCATGGAAGCCCAGTGATTGAAGTATGTCTCTGAGTAGTTTCTAACGGGTTTGGACCGGCCTCTGTCACTATCAACTTCAAACCGATGAGAAGACACCAAGAGGAGAACCATGGAGATGGAGATGATGAAGAAAAAATAAGACAAGGAAGAAGAAAGAAGAAGAAGAAGAAGTCATTTGCGGGTCAATCACCAAATAGCAAAGAGAGATTGAAAGCTAATGAATAGGAATGCCAAATAGCAAAATGGGGAAGAAAACAGAGACTCTAAACAGAGTGTGAGGGGGAAGGCTGCCAATTGGAGTGAGGTGAAGGTGGAGGTGGATGTGAAGGGTTAGGGTTAGGGTTAGGGTTAGAAGGATAGAGATGGGTAAAAATAGAAATTGGTATTAGGACAAAATTGTAATAAAAAAAATTTTAAAAAAAAATGTAGGAGTCTAAAGGAAAAAAGTAGGGAAATTCTATTTCTACACACCTAATTATCTCAATCTACATCATTTCTTAGTGTACACACTTTGTAATTTAATTATTAATTAGTTTTCTCAATCCACACACTAAGGGCATGTTTGATTGGATGGATTAGGCCATAGGATTAGGATTATTAATCCGTGGGCCCAACTATCCTATGTTTGTTTTAATAATTTGGTTTAGAATTATTAATCCAATGGATAATTAATCCAACAAATTTGTTGGATTATTAGTAATGGGGTAGGGGTGGGATTATATATCCTGAATTGGGAAATAAAGTAAAAAGACTTTTTTACCCTCACTATATACGCAGAAATGTAAGCCAAATCATATCATTTCTATCTAGCAAAGACTCAGCAGCTTTGCTGAGAGATCTCCACCTTCGTGAAGGATCTCCACCTTCGTGAAGATCTCCATCTCGGTGTGCCGATTTCAACCTTCGTTCGCCGGAAAATTCACCGTCGGCACTGAAAAACTCTCATTACCGGTGAGATTATCATCTTCGGCATTTATTTTTCCAGATTTTTATCTATTTCAACAATTAATTTTACATGTCTGGTTCAAAATTTATGATAAATCATCATTGTCAGAATTTATGAGATGTATTTGTATATATACATAGATCTATGTAGTTGTAACAATGTTTTGATGGTTTTGGTATATTATATACTAGATCTCTGTTTGATTCGATTGTTAAAATTCTGCCCACCATGTGTTTGATTCTATGTTCAAGTGAGAACTCATCATAAACAATTGGAACATGCTTATGAAAATTGTTGTGATCCATTAAATGCTTACTGGTGTGGAAAAAAAAGGAGTAAGTAGATCATTGTTAAGGTGGATATTTGTGAATGTTCTTCTTGTAGCAAGTAAAAATGTTCAAATTCACTTTTGATTGAAAGTTGACATGTACTAAACATTCATAGATTTGAACAACATTCCCCAGCTTCCATTCATAGATTCGAAGACCAACTCTTCAGCAGACATTGCTCAATAAAGCCCAAAATCAAATAAAAGTCTACATTATGCACATAAAATAAAATATAAAAAAAAGGTCCACATGTTTCATAATCGATGATTTTGCTTTGTACAGACAAATTTTACTGTAACTGTACATGATTTCATAGCTTGCATCCAAGCAATCAATCATTCAGCAAGTTCTACAAGCACTGATTATTAGTGTTGCTGCTTTTGAAGAAAATTTCTTCCATAATATGTCTTTGGACTACATATTCAGGCCCACAAAAAGAAAGAAAAAAAGAAAGAAGAAGAAAAGGTAGAAAATATAGTATCTGAAAGCATTCTGTAGTTTTAGATAGCTTTTAAATAACTTCTACTACGTTTTTATTAGCATTGTCGTATCTACTGCATCATGTATAGGATCACCTTCAACTCTTCAAAATAACATGAATGCTAGTAACCAGATTTGGACTTCTAAAACAATTCCACTTCACAATGAATGCTTTTTTCCCAAGTATATAATTAGATCAGCAAATGAATCAATAGTTCATGAACAGATCAAGCTTACAAGTCTGCACCTCACTGAAACTCAGCATGAAAATGTTTATAAACCAAACTCAAGCCTAACTTTCAAACTAGATTATTAAAGCTGAGCTCAAACGGAGGTGAACTCGAGTTGGTTAAGCTTGGCTCGGATATATTTGTTGCTTAATATATCAGCTTCAGTCCTGTCACATTTTCTCCTTAGCATTATATGACAGTAAAATAAGGATAAAAAAAGTATTGATGTAAAAGTAATAATTTCAGGCTATTAATACATTAACTAAAACCAAAACCATTAACTAAAACCAATAACATAATTTTAATATTTCAGTTCTCCACAAAGGTGCTCTGGCAAGTTCACATTGATAAAATTCAGTACATTATTTCACACAATAGGTATATATTTATGGGACCTTGGAATTGAATTGATTATGCCTAGTGGTTGTGGTGATACTGGACTCGTGTGGTAAAAAATCTTTGCATAAGAAAAAAATTGTAATCATATTGAATGTGTTTAGATTTGAATTAATGCAATCTTTTGGGAGCTCTTTCAGTACCCATCAGAAATACATGTAGTTCTAATCTCTTACACTAACTAGATTTGATGTGTTAGTTGAAGTATTTGTAGATGGACAATAATGAATGCTCGGACAGTACGATGGACCTATTTGAAGCATTTGTAGCACTCCAAGAAGTTGTGTCATCTATTAACTATGTATGTGGTGTGTACATTATTGTACTACAAGTTGCCTTGGAGAGGTACCAATCTAGGTTGGATATTAAAAGGTCACCACATCCCTTCCAAGCACAATTAGACTATTTGAATAGATTGGTGAAGGATAGCGATATTGATTGTCATGAACAACTCCGAGTGAATAGGCATACCTTCATGTGTCTTTGTACACTTGTTCGAAGTGTGGGATTATCTGATTCCAAATATGTCCTCTTAGAGGAGAAAGTTGCAATGTTCTTAAATGTGATTGCACACGACTATAAGAATCGCAACATCAAGTTCAATTTCATGCGGTCTGGGCAAACAGTTAGTCAGTATTTTAACGATGTCCTGAAGGCTATTTTACGCCTACAAGGTGTCTTACTTAAGACACCAGAGCCAATAACTGCAAATTGCACAGATGATAGATGGAGGTGTTTTCAGGTATTACATAGTTTAATTTCATTTAGATTTTGGGCAAACACTAACATATTTAAAATGAATAACCTTATTTTATTTTGATCTTTGGTAGAATTGTCTTGGAGCTCTAGATGGAACTTATGTTAGGGTTCGTGTTCCTGCAATAGATAAGCCAAGATATAGAACACGGAAGGGTGAAATTGCTACTAATGTCTTGGGTGTTTGTTCCCAAGACATGCAATTCATTTATGTGTTGCCTGGATGGGAAGGGTCAGCTTCAGATTCTAGGGTACTTAGAGATGCTGTGAATAGACCAAATGGTTTGAAGGTGCCGACGGGTAAGAATCTATATAGTTAATTGATGTCATCTTAATTGCCCAATTTTTAAAGTACTTATACATATGAAACCCATACTTGTTTTCAGGTTTCTACTATCTTGTAGATGCGGGTTACACTAATGGAGAGGGTTTCTTAGCGCCGTATAGAGGGCAACGCTATCACCTCTCTACATGGAGAGAAGGGGGTATCCCAGTGAATCCTGAGGAGTTCTTCAACATGAAGCACTCTGCTGCTCGTAACGTTATTGAGAGGTGTTTTGGGTTACTCAAGATTAGGTGGGCAATACTGAGAACTGCTTCGTACTACCCAATCAAGACCCAGGGTCGTATTATTACTGCATGTTGCCTTCTCCACAACCTCATCAGACGTGAAATGCCAATGGATCCATTTGAGTTCGAGTTAAATAACACTCCTATACCTCAACCTGATTTAGGAGAAGAGTTCATCAATACAGTAGAGCCATCAAATCAATGGAGTGATTGGAGGGATACATTAGCAAACATAATGTTTAATGAATGGCAAGCAAATAGAGGAGTTGGTGGAAATCCTCCGTAGTTGAGATAGTTTATTTAAATATTTTATTTGTAATGATGAGAATCTCGTCTATTTTCATAATTGAAAAATATGTAATGAGAATCTTACGTAATTGAGATGGATTTATTTTTCAAGCTAATCAATTTTATTTGTTTTAATCTTTATTTCATGGAGAACCATTCTCGAAAGAAAAGTAAGGGGAAGGCAGATGCTGGTTCAATTGGGAGTCGTAGGATTTGGACGAAGAGGGAGGAGTTGTTTCTCATAAGTGCAATGAGAGATTTGTGTAATAATCCTAAATGGAAGGTTGACAATGGGCAATTTAAGTCGGGGTTTTATGGCGAACTTGAGAAGAGAATTATCATGGCTTTTCCTGGAAGTGACCTTCGTGCTTGTCCTCACATTGAGTCAAAGATAAAAATTTGGAGGAAACACTATGGCCTTTTGTATGAAATGACTAAGCTTAGCGGGTTTGGATGGAATGACACTGAGAAGATGGTTCTTGTTGACAGTGATGATGTTTGGAAAAACTTTGTTCGGGTAAGTTTTTTTCTTCTATTTTTTAGTGTTCATCTCATCATAATTACTAGATATCTTATTCATCTTCATTTCAATTTTATCTCATTTAGCATACTTGAATGTCCTTTCTTTCTTTTGAACTTGTGTAGAGACAACCAAGTGCAAGTTCTATGCAAAACAAGTCATTTTCCATATTATGATGATTGGCTTGTTCTCTTTGGCAAAGACAGAGCCACTGGTGAGTTATCTGAAGACCCTGCAGATGCAGTTAAAGCAATTGCTTTGGAGGAAGCCATGGGGGAGAAGGGTTATGGTTCTCCAGCTAAGCAATTCAATGTTGCTGACTTCGAGTGTTCAATGTCTACAAATGGAAATGCATCCAACTCTTCTACCTTTAGCAAGGGAGGAACAAAAAGAGCCAGGACTACTGAAGAAATCGCAAGTAATATTGCTACTATGACAGAGACACTTGGCTCTTTTTTGGACAAAACAGACACTAGATTGGGTGAGATTGTTAAAAGGATTGGATATCAACATGACTTATCCCAAGCTAGGAGGAGTGTCAATGCTGAACTTCTGAAGCTCCCCCTTACATCAACTCAAAGGTTGACAGCAGGTTCTCTCATTGTCAAAGATGCTCAGCGAGTTGACTTCTTTTTCAGTCTCTCCGATGCCGACAAATTAGAGTGGGTATGTCTTTTGTTGGGAGGGCACATATGAGTACACATGTTGGGGATCGTGGTTTATTCGACACAATAGAATATATAATAGTATTTGATAATGTGGGAATTTAGTTGTGTAGAAGATATTGGAGATGCTATATTTCTAGCTTACACACATCACTGTTCTACAAACTATTGTGAACATTGCTTTTCTTAGTTTAATATTGAACTTGAGTTGATTGGTGGATAAAAAAACAAAAAACATAATCTGTTATGTGTGGTATTGATGGGTGAATCAAACATAATCTGTGTTTAGGCAAATCTATGTTCAAACATAATTTTGCATGTGTACTTTTAGGCCATGTTTGCATGTGTTTAATTACCATTTTGTGTATGTGTGTGTGGACATGTTTGCATGTGTTTAATTACCATTTTGTGTATGTGTGTGTGGACATGTTTGCATGTGTTTAATTACCATTTTGTGTATGTGTGTGTGGACATGTTTGCATGTGTTTAATTACCATTTTGTGTATGTGTGTGTGGACATGTTTGCATGTGTTTAATTACCATTTTGTGTGGGTGTAAAAATTATGAAAAAACATTGATGGAGGGTAAGATTGGAAAAGAAAATAAATATAGTTGTAATCCTACATTTATAAGTTTCTTATCCCAAGCAAATCAAACAATGGACAAGAGGATAATTTATCCTATTAATCTAATTGGATAATTAATACCACACTAATCTAATAGGATTATTAATACTTCACTATTAGTCTTGTGAAATCAAACATGGCCTAAATGTATTAATTATACCCTTCACTCAACCATTGTACACACAGCCCCTCAACTCTCTTTCCACACACTTATCTCTCCTTCCACACACTGGTACAATCAAAGTGAAGACCCATTGAAGAACACAGTTAAAATGAAGACTCACATTGAAGAACCAAAGTTCTCCATTGACAACACTATTGAAAAGCCTCCATTGCAATGTTGAAGATGGTTCAAATGTAAATTACTAGAGAAAAACAAGAGTGACAATCCCGGCTTTGCCCATTGGAAATAGATAATTCTTGTAAAACCCAGCTTTGATGTCCAAGAGTTGTCCTTTCTTTCCCAAGTCCACTACGTCCTCCCTCAAAATTATCTGACACAAACTCGCCACAAACAGATCAAATACAAGTTAAAATGTTGATGAACAAATTGTGAGCAGCAAAATCACGACCGTGAAGTCATGATGAAAAACTCCATGATACACTAATAGAGTATAAACTTAGAGATTAAAGTAACATAAGAGTTGTTATGAGAGTATTGCTTTGCAAATAATAGAGGTATAGAGATTGTAGCCAGTAAAGTAACAACAATAGAAAAACTTGAGTTCAGTTTTTTTTTATTCAAAAGATGTATACAGACAATATTTTTATATAATATTATGAGTGTTGGTAGATATCTATTATGGTCATTTTAATTTAAGGTATAATTATTATTAAAATAATATTTTATTAAGTATGTACACTAAAATAATTAAACGTATAAAAATAAAATTTCTCAAAAAAAATCAGTACTAATAGCAGGAATCGGTTTGAACCCTTGGGATGCCTTGGGATTGGACTCTGACGTCTTTACCCTTAAATTTTGAATGCCTTTACGTAATTTACGCTCTATTTGAAACCCTTCTATGAAATCTGCTACTTGTACAAGACCTTAACATTTATCTATCTATCTATGTATATTATATTATTATAAAGTGAACACCTCTTATGGTCTCCTGAAGCTTTACTCTCCTCATGCCATGTGGCAGTATTTTTTATTTTTTTAAAAAAAGTTAAACAAAGAGATGGGCAAGGCTTGAACCCATGACCATGAGATGACCATGAGTTTAAGTACGAAGACTCATACCACTTAAACTAAGTACACATTATAATATTAATTTCATTATTATTATTTTTTTATTCCTACTTATTTAAATTACACACACATCGTGTGTGCCACCCACTAGTATACATAAAGGTAATGCTATGGTACATAAATGTAAGTTATGTTTTTTATAAGTTTAATTATAAAAAATAACATAATTTAATATTATGAAAATTATAATTAAAAAAATAAAAAATTAATTTATAATCAAACGTCACAAAAGTATACTAAAGAATTCTTTGTATTATAACTAAAATAATATCATAACCAACATTAAAATCAATTATAATTAACAATACAATAAGTCATAACAAAAAATTATAAATTTTTTATTCATTAATCTTTTAATTAGAACTTGTATCCCATGTGATCCTATTCATAATTTATAATTTCATTTATAGCTTTCAAAATGGCCAAAAATCAACTTTTTTTTATTTATTTTAAATGTATCTTCAAATTTGACAATGGAATTCTAATTTAATTTGTACCTTGTTTATAGGAGAATATTTTATTAAAGTATCTAATTTATCTTCTACCTTATGATTTATTTTTTATTATATATAGATTATCAAAATATATATTTTAAAGAAAAAATCACCATAGTTAAATAATTAAATGAATTTCTTTAGTGTAAATAGTTTAATTGATAATTATAAAGGAGAATATTCATACTTTTAATTTTTTAAAAATACATATATAAATCAATGTGAATATTCAGATTTTTTAAAAAATATTCGCATTTTTTTTTTCATTCACATTATTCATATGCATAACAAGTGTGAATATCCATATTAGCATATTCTATAAATTACAAAAAAGCATTCAACAAAAAGTTATGAATTTTATAAAATATCATTAGATCTTAATATGAAACTCTAAAATTTTCTAGTTCAAAAAAAAAAAAAAACTCTAAAATTAAATTTTCTAAAAAAATGTCATGTTAACTATCACATAAAATTAAAAATATATTATTATATCAAGATTTGAATTTGTGTCAGAAGACTGAATTATATATAATAAAATATTCTTATGTCGCATGACTGTCAATGTGTCATTTTTAATTTCATTTTTAATAAAAGTTAATTTTAAAAGAAATTAAAAAAAAAAAGGATGAAACACCAATAAATCCCAAAATGTGATATTTGTGAACTGTTTAGTCATTCCTTTTTTCTTATAAGCCCAAAGGTCCTATTAAAGGGGAAATTACACAAAAAGGTAGTCATTTACATGTTTGAGTTTAATTTTTCAGGAATAAAAGTGTATTTCTCTAAATGTAAAATTACATATTTAGGCAATCCGTATTATAGGAGTTTTGAATTTTTTCTTCTTCTGGAACAAATCTACATTACCAACAAAAACGTAACACTCTAATATAACACTCCAATGTAACACACTAAAAAACTCTTTGGTGTACTTTTGTCAAACATAACAACGTAATACTCAAAAAAAAATTTTTACTGTATTTTTTCCAAATGTAATACAAAAAAAAAAAAATTTCTTAGTATACTTTTCCCAAACGTAACACTTCAATCAATGTAATCTCAAACGTAAAACTACAATGTAACATACTTCAATGTAACAAACAAAAATATTACAAACTCCTTAGTGTACTTTTTCCAAACGTAACACTCACAATTTGAAATTATAAATTTATCCAAAACTTATTAAGGAATTTTTGTACTTATTTTGGAATGGTTTGAAGAATCCTACATAATTTTTTTTTTTTTTTACAATGTTATATTGGAGTGTTACATTTGAAAAAGTACACTAATAAATTTTTTTAGAGTGTTACGTTTGGAATAAATATACTAAAGAGTTTTTTTTTTTTTTTCATTTGTCTAAAATTTACCAACGAATTTTTTTTTTCTTATTTTGGAATGGTTTGAAAAATCTCACATACTTTTTTTTGAATGTTACAATATTAAGTGTTATGTTTGAAAAAAATATACAAAGAAGTTTTTTTTTTTTTTTTTGTATACGTTAGAGTGTTACACTAAGGAGTTTTTTTTGTAGTGTTACATTGGAATGTAATATTTGAGTATTACATTGAAGTGTTACAGTTTAAAAATATACATTTGTCCAAAACTTACTAAGGAATTTTTTTTTGTACTTCTTTTGAAATAATTGAAGAATCTCACATTCTTTTGAAATGTTTAAAGAATTTTATATTACAAGTCATTTTTGTACTCCTTTTAAAATATTTTCGAAATAAAAAAGATTCTTATACAAAAAATAATTCCAAATTTGATTCTCATAGATTGTACACATTACCTTTCTAGTACAAAAGAAAAACAAGAAAGTAACACAATAGAAATAAAGATATAATCGTAAATCTAATTTTCAAATAATATATTAAATCTTTTTTTCAAAATCAATAAGACTAATTAGTCTATAAAAAAATTGTTGAGACTAAATAAATCACATTCCTTAAAATAAAATTTATAGATAAATTTTCCAAAAATTAAAACATAAAACCAAAATCAAGGAAAAAAAAATGCTTTAAAAACCAAAATAAAAAAATACCAGCGCAAAGTATAATTTACCCTTTAATTTTTGGTGGTCCGACATCCTGGAGTGGGTCGTTTAAAAGCTAGTAAGTGGGTAAAGGCTTAAGAAGTCTA